GCTTCGAGGCTAAGTTTCACAGCCCCATTTTTAAGCTTTTTACCGTTTTCGGGAGGAGTTCATGTTAAAATAATATTATTTATTATATATCGATTTTTATCGTTATATTATAAATGTTAGTTTATTATTTTTATAAAACTTAGCTTTGCCTTGTCGTTACTTTCCCATATAATATGAAATATCTATTATACTTTGTCGTTACTCTGCCCATATAAAATGAAATATGTATATAATACTCTGTCGTCACTCTGCCTGTATAATATATATAATTATTATACCATGTCGTTACTCTGCTCGTATAATATGAAATATTTATTATACAGTGTCATTACTCTGCCCGAATAATATCAAATAGTTCTTATACCATGCCGTTACTCTGCCCCGTATAATATGAAATAGTTACTATACCATGTTGTTACTCTACCCATGTAATATCGATAATGATTATACTCTGTCGTTACTATGCTCGTTTAATTTTTACAAGTTAATTAAATTAAACTAAATAATTATAAATTATTATAATTATACTACGCAAAACTTTAGCCTGATAACTTAAACTAATAAAGTTAGGGCTACAACTTTTAAGGCTATTCACTCAATGGTTAAATGAGACATATTCATCATCTAAGTTTAAATACTTAGCTAAGACCCCGACTTGTAATCGGTAAATCTTAAGTGAGCGAGAGAGTTATGTATAGACCGATATGAGTTGACACCCCCACCTGCGGTTACTAGCTACAACCTCGACGGTCAAGTCACGAGTAATAACTGTCTAAACACTACAACGTCCAATGAAGTGTCACAAGGGGCAACAACTCGTCAACAGTTCGATTATAAGAACTCATTGTAACCTTGATCAACATGCCTAAAACCAAATGATTATATAAGATGAAACAATACTTATATACAGTAAAACACTACTTTTTGTTGATCAACATGCCTAAAAAAATGATTATTTAAGATGAAATAATACTTATATACAGTAAAACACTACTTTTGGATAAAAGTACACACAATTATATTAGTTGAAACAATACTTATATACAGTATAACTCTACTTTTGGATAAAGAGTATATAAATTTATATAATTTAAAAATACTTATATATGATAAAATAGATACTTTTGGTATAAAAAGTACTTTCGATACAAATGTTACAAACTTGTGAATTCGCCAACATTATGTTGACGTTTTAAAAATCACATGTATTCTCAGGGAATTAAGAGTCAGTTGTATCAATCATTGGGGAAACACTCATGGACTCAGTGGAGTATTATTATTGTTATTGTTTATTATTATTCCTATTTGTCAAGGAACTATTTGTACACAAATTCCTAGTACACTGAAAACTTATTACGATGTAATATTATTTTATAACTGAAGTGACATATATTTTATATATTATGTGTATTGTTCAATGTAATCAATATATATGAACCATGACAACGTCGCACAACCCGGTGTTTCTGCCGCCGGTCGGGGGTGTGACAGATTGGTATGCTATAGCAAACTAGTATTTTTAAGGAAATTACAACTATAGCTCTAGGCCCATTACTCCAATTAAGTTTATCCCTTAAACCTAGGAATAACAAGTATTATTATTAATTACACTATTGATAAACTACTTACGGTAGAGATGTCTAGGATGGAATTGTCGCATTGGGTTGTTGGATTTCAGAAAAGCTATACGCCGAAATGATCTTGTCTTCCGACTTTTCTTGACTGGTTGATTCTTACTTGATAGTCTTGAAGTACTGAAAAAAAAAATATAAACAAACCTCATATATATATATATATATATATATAAACTTAGTCCCTCGATGAGAACACTTATACCTATATGTATAACTTACAACAAAATCCATAGGAACACAAACTCAAAAGTTTAGGCCAAATACCTTATCTATAGTTAGTGCAGTATAGCGGTCGAACCACAACTAGACCTAGTTGCGCACCTAAGTTTTATTATGACTAAACCTTGATACGCTAGTTGGCAATTTAAACACTTGAGGATTCTTTGGGTTTGAATTCATATTTTCGAGTCACATATCCAATATACACTATGTAGGGATTCATTGGAAATGCCAGTAATATTTATTAAATACTTATAATTCCAGATTATTTGTATATAGATCCTCACACTATCACTCATAAACATATATCCTCTTTGATGTCTTATGCAGGATCACACCCTATCATGACAGATCTCGGAGTTTGGATGCTGATATCAGCGCCATAGGAGGATCAGGTGGTACCTCACTCACGTGAACCTAAGGATTCTCATACTCCGGAGGTTTCGATACCACTGTCTCCTTTAATCACCAATGAGGAGCCGTACAAGAATGACGATTCCTCGGAAGTAGCTGAGGAGCCGGACGATCCAGCATATGAACCCTCCGATAACCCTTCTGATGCCTCCAAGGAAGACGACCCGACTGTAGAGGAGGCAGATCCCGCTGAGAATGAAGCGGTCGTGTACTCTGAGTGGGAAGACGAGGAAGCTGAGGGTGACGACGAGCAGACCGAGGAGAAGGTTGAGCATTACTCTGAGGATGAAAATATTATTAGAGAAAAATGTTAGTTGGTATAAGCGTAAATCTGTTATTGAGTTTAATAGTGGTTTGAGTAGTTGTAAAGTTGTAAACTGAGGGTGACGACGAGCAGACCGAGGAGAAGGTCGAGCATTACTCTGAGCAGGAAAATCTTGTTATTGTACAATTATAACATTAAAGTTGTGAATTGTTAATAAATGTATCATGAGTAGTTGTAGACCTGGCGATTGTTGTCAGGGTTGCTCACTAAGCTCTTTGTAGCTTACCCTTTTGTTGTTGTGTCTTTTAGGTAAACTCATTAAAGAAACAAAAAATTGTAGAAGAGAGGTAGTAATGCCCGACTCAGATTATTGTATTTTTATTTATCTGATGTAATCCTTTTGATAACTTTTTGTAGTTTATGTTAATAAAAGTGTGCATCGAGGATATTTATAAATTAAAAAGTGAAAGTTTTGGGTCTATTGTGCGTTTAAAAGCTATGTGTTACAATAAACAAACACATCATTACAAAAAATGCATATCCAGTGATTAAGAATTAACTAATCAGGTCGGTTCGTTGTTTACAGAAAATAGTCTAGATTATGAGATTCGAACATTTCAAGTGAAAATGGAGTTCATTGGTTCGAGATGAAAGTGGAATTTTGAAATGAAACAATAGATAAAATCAAAAGGAGTCACTGATGGCAGCCTCCGATTGATATTCGCCATTACCAAAAGCTCCATATTCGAACCGATTTGGGTTCGAATATAAAAGTGGACTCCAAAACTTGGAGATCTAAAAGCAAAAGCACATCAGGCTCCTCTATTTTCACAGCTAACGATAAACACACCACTAATAACAAATGAAATGCTTATCCATTATTTCCCTATGTTTGCAAATGCCAACATCATTGTCAGATTCCACTACCATTGATTTCCCACCTCATTTGGTATTTGAAGTTCCTTGCATTTAATCGATTCATCGTCATGCAACTAATCCCCAACTCCTCCCTTTTCTCCTTATTCCTTACCAAAGAGCGACACATCACCTTCTTGAAACCTCACTACGACACCAATAACGTACCTCTTAACCTTCTCGAATGCACCCATTCTCCATCTCTTTGAAGATGAAAACCCAAGAAGTTACCGAACAACAAAGGAGAAGAAGTGGAATACATAAGATAAGAGATAGTGAAAGAACAATGAAGGGAATGATAGGAATTTGGATAGGGTCATGAGTGAGTGTGTGAAGAGGATTGGGAATATGACACCAACCACCGCCATGGAGGAGACGTCCAAAGAAGAATGGAGGTTGTGAGGGAGCATAGGAGAGAGGTTGTAGTGAGTGTAGACCTAGTAAACATGTCGTGTCGTGTCAAGACATTAAACGGGTTGAAATGGTTTGACCCTAACCCGGCCTGTTTAATTATCGTGTCGTGTCGTGTCAACCTGTTTATTTTCGTGTCAGGTTTCAGGTTAAGGTTTAGACCTTGTAAATATGTTGTGTCATGTCGGGTTGAAATATTTTAAAAGGTTGGAAAATAGGAGTTGTGGAGGCAAAAAGGAAAAAATAAAACACTGTAGTTAAGAGATGGAATGACAAAATTTATAGTAAGTTTAGAAGGAAAAATGAAAAGAGTTAAAGTTAGGGAGCAAAAGGGATAGGTGGTGAGGATGACTAAAATTAAGTAACTTTGAAATTTTGAATATTACTTCTAATTCTTGAGTTTGGCCCACTACAAGTCTATAACATATAATATATTTATAAAAATATGAAATTTATAATAAATAATATATAATTAAACGGGTCATATTCGAGTCATCTTCGAGTTGAAAGTATTGACCCTAACCCTACTTGTTTAATTATCATATCGTGTCGTGTCAACCCGTTTACATAAACGTGTCGAAACCTTTGAACCAAACTCCTTAATTTCGTGTCGGGTTTTCGTGTCATGTCATGTTTTGCTAGGTCTAAATGAGAGTGGCATATGGACATCTAATGCCGCATCAAACTATGGGCGGCACCTATGTTGACATAAAAGAGTCCAGATCATCTATTTGGAATAACTTGCTAATAGGAAAAAAAAAAAAACAAAAAACAAAAAAAAACAAAACGCTACCATTCCCTTTATTAAAGGGTCATTTCATTATTTATATACTTACAAAACACAATTTAGTTTATGGACCATTTTAAAAGCAAAAGCAAAAGTTTATTGGATTTTAATAATCGACTTCGTGAGCAGACACCCTAAACAGTAATACATTTAAAGATTTTAGGATATTATAACAAGACACCCTAAACAGTAATAAATTTAAAGATTATAGGATATTATAACAATTGGCATAAGATATTTCAACTTTAACCCAACACATTCAAATAAACAGATCGATTGAGTTTATCCATTAATTAAACTAGTCCAAAAATATCAACCTTGGATCAATTTTTACCAGTTCTATTTGCAATCATGATTTAAATAAAAAATCAAACCAAACAAAACCATTAACACTTTCATGGCCAACATTAATAAAATGTTAAATCAAAACTACAAATTGAACAAAAAATTAAAATACACAAGGCCACTCTTAATTTTACACTAAAAGCTCACCTCTAAATCTCAAACTAAAATTCAACATCTTGTTACATCTAATCAAAGATCAAAACAACCCAACTTAATCAATCTTTCATCATCATCACCATCACTATCATCATCATCATCATCATCATCTCCAAGAAGTCAAATTTTGACCAGCAACCCAATATTGTTTGACTACAAACAATATCTTTTCAGGAACAAGAGGCCCATCTTCATGATCCACCATTTTTGCATCCCATCTCATTCCAGAAACAATTCTTTTCACCTTCATCACTTCTCTTTCATTGTCACGTATTATAACAGTTCCTTCTGGCCTTAAAATTCTATCCATTTCCAAAAGAATGTCTTCATAACTACACCTGTAAAGTATATAATGAGTGTTATTATATTAGAACAATGTTTGTTGTGTACAATTAAAAAAAATAAATGAAATTAAATTAAGTGCATATAAACTTACTTGTCTTTGTACAAGGTGAAAAGACCATTTGCATGGATAAGGTCGTATGTTCTTGGGTATGTTGAGAAGGCTTCACACCTAAAAAAAATACAAGAGAAATAGGAGTTTATTTATTTATGTTTAGTTTATTTATTTTATTTTATATTATAGTTTTTGCAAGAATGAATGAGTTATAAAATGCTGTGAAAACTACCTTTAAGAATACAAAATATCAACTTTAGTTCCTCACAACTCTTTTTTATGTTCAAGTCTCTTTAACATTTTCAGTTTCATTTTTGCAAAAATTTACTTTCTCAAAATATTTTTCTAAAGTAGATAGCATGTGAATTTTTATTTTTATTTCAGTTATTATTGTTATTATTAGGGAACATTACAATAAAAAAAAATTATCTTTTAGGTGGTTTGGCAATTAAACACTAATACTTTATTATTTCCAATCACACCATAAAAGTTGACCTTATTTATCTAAAAACAAAGGGTAAAACGGTCATTTTTGTAGCCAAAAAAAGAAACTGGACTTTATGTATAGAAATTACCAGTCATGATATATTTTGTTCAAAATATAATGATATTTTACCAAAATATAACAGTTTTTTCGATAATTTGACCTTATTAATTAAAAAAACCAAAGGGTAAAACGGTCATTTTGCAGTCTAAAAAAGAGACTGGACTTTAGGTACATAAATTACCAGTCATGATATATTTTGGTCAAAACATAATGCTTTTTTACCAAAATATAATGGTTTTCTCCATAATTTAACCTTATTATTTTAAAATAAAATAAAAAATAAAAACAAAGGGTAAAATGGTCATTTTGTAGTCTGAATAAGACTTTAGAAATTACCAGTCATGATATATTTTGTTCAAAATATAATAACTTTTTACCAAAATATAACTTTTCCGATAATTTGACCTTATTACTTAAAAAACCCAAAGGGCAAAACGGTCATTTTGTACTCTAAAATAGAGACTGGACTTTAGGTACAGAAATTACCAGTCATGATATATTTTGGTCAAAACATAATCATCTTTTACCAAAATATAACAGTTTTTTCCGATAATTTGACCTTATCATTTAAAAAAAAACCAAAGGGCAAAACGGTCATTTTGCAGTCTAATATAAAAAACGAGACACGACTTTATGTTACATAAATTACCAGTCATGATAGATTCCAATCAATCCACGTTCAAAAACCACACCAAGAGTATCCCTTTTAGCAATAGTTGGCATCACATTCATCACCCAAGACTTTGGAGACTCAAGAGCAGCTGCAAAGCTTCCAAACCCTGCATTCATATCCATGATATTACGATATCGCCCTGAGTCAATAATCTTATTTACTCTCTTGTAAGCATTAAGATGTTTTTGCCACAATTTCTTGTCTTGTTGGAATGACTGAATGGAGACTCCATCAATGGAGCCACTACTGATTCTTGGAGGAATGTCATTAAGTCGTTCTGGAAACGGTTTTAATTCTCCACCAGAAATTTCATCTGTGTTGTTTGTTTCCATGTAAGGAGTCACACAAGCTTCCATTTCCTTGTACCTAAATGAAAATGTTTGGTTATTGAAACTTTTCCCGAAAATTTGGGACTTTTCTGTAGATTTCCCAAAAGGTTAGTATTCCAACAACCCATAGGCTATGTTTGGCAGACTAGCTGGCTAGCTGAGAAGCTGGTTGGTAGCTGTTAGTTGAAAAGTTGGCTGATAAAAAATTTTGTTAGCTGATAGCTGAAAAGCTAGTTGGTAAAAAAAGGACGTTTGGTAAAAAGTAGGTGAAAGATATAAAATGACATAAAAGAGCATTTAAAAATTTTGTTTTTTTTATAATTAATTAAGGGGTATATTTGGAAAAATTTTAAAAAGGTCTTGAAAAGCTAGTTTAAGTAGCTATTTAAAAAGCTAGTAAACATGACAACTTAAAAAAACTCAAAAAAATAAGCTAAGGTTATCAGCTAGCTGTGCCACGCCAAACACAACCAAAATGACTTAAAAGCATGTTTTTTTTTTTATAAATAATTAAGGGTAAATTTGGAAAAATTTTAAAAAGCTCGTGAAAAGTTAGTCTAAGTAAGCTAACTTATCCTTATGATGGCCCACCACAAGCTTTTTCTTTTCGTTTTATTTCTAGGGTTAATCTAATAAAAGACCTTATATTTTTGTGTTCTTTCCAGATTAAACCTCAACTTTATTTATTTTTAATGAAAAAGACCTTGCACTTTTTCATTTTTTCCTATCCGTCCCTTTTAGTCACTTTTCTCTAAAAAACATTGTAAATGTGAAGGTTTTTTCATGAAAATCTACAAAAGTTGAGGATTTATTTGGAAACATTTGTTTTTTTTCGAAAAAAAAAAAAAGACAAAGTTGACGGTTTTTCGGAAAAAATGAAAAAATATAATGTCTTTTTCATGAAAAAAAAAATAAAAAAACAAGTTTTAATCCGGAAAAAAAAAACACAAAATATAAGGTCTTTTATCAAATTAACCCTTTTTTTCCTTCTTCTAACAATCCCTAAACTAGCTGACACCCACCACAGCACAACATTATGTGAGATGTAAATCAGGTACACAATGGCCTGCTAATCCACATTAGAACTGCAACTACTTCAACTCAAACAACCATCATCTCCATGTGTGTGTGTGTGTGTTTGGATGTTAAAACTTAAAGCTTAAAATTTAAAAATTTTAAATTGGGAAATCTACAGAAAAGTCTAACTTTTGGGAAAAGTTTCAAAAAAATCCTAAAAAAAAAATTTTGAACAGAAAAGTCTCATTATTTTGAGAAAATCATATAATCTGTCATTTGCTGTTCAAATATAAAAAACGCCCTTTTCGTTAACTTGGGCAAAATGTTAAATAATCGGGACTTTTCTGTTCAAAAAAAGCTTTTAGGAGTTTACTGAAACTTTTCCCAAAAGTTTGGGACTTTTCTGTAGATTTCCCTTTTAATTTTAGTATGAAGTTATGTAGTACCAAACATCATCGGGATTTGTGGATTGACACAAAGTAACACGAGAGTCTCGTTCTTGACAATATCCTTGATTTACTCTTTTCCTCCAAATTGCAGTTTCACCTTTCTCATATTTCTTCTCCCAACAAAGAAGTTTAGCCATTTCCTCAATATTCCTTTGTTCTTTTTCCAATTCTTCTTTTGGTCTTTGCCATGACTTGAAATTAACTTTCCAATTAATTGGAGGCCCAGAAAGAACCCAATACCCACCGGGTCTCAAAACCCGGTCAACTTCCATCATATACTTCCCATCTAACACAATTATGATTTAAGCAAAATTATTTAAAATAAAAATCATTATATATTATTGGGTGATTATGTGGTTTAACCAAAACTTATAATTACATAAAAGTTTAAGATGTTTTTCCAGTTTAACCATTTTGATTTGATATAACTCAAAATGGTTCATTTGGTAAATTAGTGGTGGAACTTGAAATAACAAAATTAAAAGTGAAACCTGATACGATATAACAGGTCAAAGTTGTTGATTTGGAAAAATGTGTGAAATTTGAAACTTTTATGGAGTTATTGAAAATATTTAATAATTTTCCCCCATTATTTAGGGTTTTATTCAGAAAAGTCCGATTATTTTGGGAAATTTTTTGATAAAGTCCTAAATCTTTTTTTAAAAAACAGAAAAGTCCCGATTATTTAATTTTATACGATAATTTGTCAGTTCCTGTTGGGTATTATGCAGAAAAGGCGTCATTATTTTGGGAAAATTTTTGATAAAGTCCTAAATCTTTTTTTTAACAGAAAAGTCCCGATTATTTAACATTTTGCCTAAAGTAACAAACTTATTTTAACAAGAAATGACAGATTATGTGATTTTCCCAAAATAATGGGGACTTTTCTGCATAAAACCCCATTATTTAAAATAAAGATTTAGACTTAATGAAATTACCATTTCCACCCCATGGAATCAAGCACCTAGAACAATGAGCCATGTCAAAAGACCTTGAAGGGTATGGAAGCTTTATAGTTCCAAGAACACCAATAATTGCAGGGACACCTCTTTCAAGGGCAAATTGGACTTGTGCTTCATGTGAATCTCTTGGAGCAAAAGACATGGCTATAACATTTCTTTTGAATAAGTATGCACCCCAACTTGCAACCTATATGCAAAATATTTTATAAAAACTACAAGTATTATTTACAAATTACAACCATAGAGAATTAAAGAGCAAATTGCAGAAAATATTTTATCTTTTTAGTTTTGGCCATAATAGAAGCATAACTTATTGACTTATAGTAGTGGTAAAAGGAGTTTCTATTTATGGGGGTAAATAATAAAAAGAGTAAATTACACGAATGGTCCCTATGGTTTAGGGTAATTTGCACATTTGGTCCCTAACTTGTTTTTTTAACTCGGAAGGTCCCTACAGTTTGTTTTTGTTGCGCGTTAGGTCCCTGCCTTACCTAAAAAGACTATTTTGCCCTTGATTTTTTAATTTATTTAAATAAGATAGGGTAGGTAAGGTAAGGTAATGTGAGGTGGAAGTGTGGCTGGGGGTGTGTTTATTTAAATGAATTAAAAAATCAAGGGGAAAATAGTCTTTTTAGGTAAGGCAGGGACCAAGCGCGCAAAAAAAACAAACAGTAGGGACCTTCCGAGTTAAAAAATAAGTTAGGGACCAAACGTGCAAATTACCCAAACCATAGGGACCATTCGTGTAATTTACTCAAATAAAAATGCTAGTATGGATAGATAAAAACATGTAAGTACATTGCAATTATGGTTGGTAAAAGGGTTAATCTCATAAAAGACCTTACATTTTGTGTTTTTTCTGGATTAAACCTCAAATTTATTTTTTGTCTGAAAAAGACCTTGTATTTTTTCATTTTTTCCGAAAAAGCCCTCAACTTTGTATTTTTTTTCGAAAAAAACCATCAACCTTCTAAATGTTTCCGAATAAATCCTCAACTTTTTTAGCTTTTCCCGAAAAACCCTCACACTTACAATTTATTTCGGGGTTTTATGCAGAAAAGTATCATTATTTTGGGAAAATTTTTGATAAAGTCGTATTTTTTTTTAAACAGAAAAGTCTTAATTATTTAATTTTACACGATAATCTGTCATATCCTGTTAAAATAAAAATAAGGACTTTTTTCGTTAATTTGGGCAAAATATTAAATTATCGGGACTTTTTTGTTCAAAAAAAAATTAGGACTTTATCAAAAAATTCACCAAAATAATAGGACTTCTCTGCATAAAACCCTTTATTTCAGAAAAAAAAAAAAAAAAAAAAAAAAAAGACTAAAAGGGCCACATCAGAAAAATTGAAAAAATGCAAGGTCTTTATCAGGAAAAAAACACAAAATATAAGGTCTTTTACTCTTTTACAAGATTAACCCTTGGTGAAAAGAGTAAAGTACATTGCTATTTCATGTAATTGTCCCTAGAAAACAATAAGGATTATTAAATATACTTACACCACAACCAGTATCCAATGCAGTTCTAACCATTCCATTTCCAATTGGAATCACAGATGCCAATTGATCAATATAAGCATCTGCTCCATGAGGAAACTGAGTCCCTCCACCTGGGAATCTAAACACATCGCCTTCATATTGAATCCAATTCTGAATCGCCTTTTCAACTGTCAAGCTCTTGTAAGGTGCATTAGCAAAAGGGACAAAATCCCTGCTTTTAGGCCATGGGAATGGAGTCACATACCCTTTAGGAGCTGGAATCAGACAATGAAGCTTTTCATTTTCAGGGGGACAATGTCTTTCCCTGTAGTTCATGAAGTCTCTAGGGAAAGTCATGGCACGCATTTGATCATGGCAAGGTGTGTAGTCAATGAATCTATCAGCACATGGTTGGAAAACCTTGGTTTGTTGTAGATCATGGAGGTTTTTGATTCCATCTCCATGATGTGTTTCTATGTTTAGATTTGAAAGGACACTGCAATCTGCTGTTTTTGTTACTTCTTGTGCTATGCTGTCTCCTTTACCAAATCCGCTCTTTTGCCATGCTCCAAGTAGATAGAAGAAGCAACAGAGACCCACGACTATGAATATTGAAAAGGATTTTCGTGTTCTATTGTCTCCTGGATTCCCTTTGGTTGCCATTAATGACCTGAAACATTGATTCGAGAAATCAAAATGCCATTGATACATGTCAAATCGACTGAAAAAGAGGCGACTTTGCAGGACTAGACGTTTAATCAAACACTTTGTAAGCATGTTTTCATTACTGTTATGATGTAATAGACATCTCATTGTGTTATACTTAGCATTTTAGAAGAGAATTTGTAGGTGGATAGAGAGACAAAGGTGTAGAAAGGCGAGATCTTTGTGTTCAGAACAGCGAAGAAGCTGATCAAGTTCTGTGATTGAAAGCATTCTAGCGCTACTACACAAATAAACGATCCCGTAAACCTCGGAAAATATTCCATCATCCATGATTATCTTAAGGATCTGGAACGAAGTAAACAGACCAGTCAACCACACACGGAATGGAGTGTAAAGCAGATAAAAACATTCGAACCGATTGAAGTATTCACTCGATTAAGAATAAAACAAAGTTGAACCCAATTAGGTATGACGTATATGGAAATAGATTGACGGGAAAAGCGGATCGAAGTGAGAAGAATCTTACGGATCGTGAAGACGATAGTGGAGATCTTGAGGACTTGATTGGATCAAAACATGGACTGAGGGAGTGTAGATTCGTGTGACATATGATTAGCGATTATGGTGATGTCGGTGGGGTATGCAGAGGGGATATGAGATTGGTGTTCAATAAATGAAGAGGAATTTGGGTTTTTGATGAAGATTATGATTACGAAGGTGATGATGGCCTGGGTGACCCTTTTGTTGGATTCTTTAACCCCGGTTGTTATTGGCCATGGATAGCCTTTTTCTCTCTCCAATTCGGATTCAATATCATCCTTAATTTGATACTGATCATGTTCATTTTATAGCGAATATCATTCGTTAAATCAAGTGCTGAAATAATAGTTTTGGTCATTAAGATTTCTTTATACATGTTTCTAAGTTTCTTTATTGATTTTTAAGAGTAAATCTCACATTGTGTTTGTTTTGTGCTATTACTAGAGTCACTAAGGTTGTGTTTTACACGCCACAACTAGCTGATAAGCTAACTTATTTTTCAAGATTTTTTATTTTTTCTGGTAAGCCAAAAATGGCTTATAAGCTAGCTTTTTGAAAAGCTACTTAGACTAGCTTTTTAGGAGCTTTTTTAAAATTTTCCAAATACACCCTTAATTAATTATAGAAACACATACTCTTACATGTCATTTTATGTAATTTTATATATTTCAACTAGCTTTTCAGCTAGTTTTACCAAAAGTTATTTTTTATCAGCTAGTTTTTCAGCTTGTACCACCCCTTAGTTATTCTCTTAGAATGCAACTGAGTTTATTTCTGGTGGGGTCGGTGTTGCGTTGTTTCCACGGTTGGGTCTTTGAGGCATCTTTCTGTCAAAGAACAGAAAGATGTTGAGTACACATCGCATTCCCAGTTTAGAATGTCACAGACTCGGCGAATCGATTTGTGCATCTAAGTGATTCCATGTATTAACATAAAACAAGGAAATAAAACGCATAGCAGATAACAACATCACGATAAACATAGAGCATTTTCATTAATAATAATCGTTTTTAATACATGAAAATTTGCCAAAAAAGGCATACAGTACATGGGGGAACATATGATCCGACAGCATGACGACCCTATGAGTAGTGTAATCACTTAAACATATGGTCGATAGTACATAGAGTAAAACATAAAAAGAAAATCATAACAATAGTACATGAACGGGTACTAGCTAAAATGAGATGGGTCTGACAACGATATCATATGCCGAAATGCCGTGCGACAAGATCAGCCATCTCGGCCATCCCCCTGACTACCTCGTCTCTCTCGTGCTCGGCCTGAACAGCTCGGGCCTCTGTCGCTAAAAGTTGTTGCCGAAGAGTGGCAACCTCCTCCTCTAGGGAGTGAGTCTTATCTACGGGATCTCGTGGCGTTGTGGAGTGATCTTGTACTGTCTCGGAAGTGGGAGGTCACTAGGTACTTCATTCGTATCCCCACCCTCCTCTGTGACCTCATCGGATTCCTCAAACTCATAGTCCGTCTCCACGTATTTTTCGGGCCCGACACCGGGGGCTGCCTCCACCACGGGGTCTTCCTTAATTACTCTGTGGGCCACTAGGTTCTGGTAGAAAAGAACGCCCTGATGTGCTCCATCCATGGCGATTGTGCGAGAAACTGGGAGTGAGAAATGTGTAAAGGGAGTGTGTATATAAAATTTCAAAATACTCCTATAGTATTTTAATTTCTTGTGTTTGAATTCCTGAGAAGTTTTGGATACGAGGTATGTTTCTAGGTTAATTTCCGCCATGATTACCCCCAAACACATGTTGGTCATATTTTGAATAAATATAGTTGATCAGGCTATATTTATCTCCAATATGACTACATAACTGCCCGGGTTTAATCACAGTGTTCCATTTCCTCTAGAGACTTTTAGTGTTATTGTTTTAATGTATACCTAGGTATGCATTTTATTCAGAGTGTTTTAGTCTCATTGTATTTATAGTTGCATATCAAGTATGATTAGATATGTCAGTTCACTATAAACAATGCTCTGATACCAATCTGTCACACTCCCGAACCAGACGGCGGAAACGTCCGGGGGCTTGCGCGTGACTTCATCTTGTAATATCATCTCAATGTAAATAATTAAAACAAGACAACACCATCATCATACATATCAAATACAACCAGCATTGTTTACATCAAGTACAATATCATAAATTACATGTTCAAAATATTCAATGTATGATGATAACAAAAAATATAACAAATTCCACCATTTCCTGCTGACATTTCTTGTTAACGATTCCTTGAGAATACAAGTTATTTTGAAAAACGTCAACATATATAATGTTGGTGAGTTTATAAGCATATTTGAATGAAAAGTTTTGAATTGTTTGTAAACACCAAAAATCCGATATTTTCTGAAAATGGTTTGAACGTGATGTATCAAAAATCAAGTATTAATACATGTGTGTTCTCTGTATGTGAAATGTATAAAAATGTAATCCAGATAAAAACATTGAATTTTCTGTAGTACGTAAAAGATATTGTTTAACGGGTATTACCCCAGAAAATCCGATATTTTATGTTTATAAAAGTGTTGTGGTCTCAACCCTAAGACCGAATTACAGTATATGTATGTTTCCGTATCCACAAGATTTTATAGGTATTCTATAAAATTATGTTGGAGAGGATTTCTAAGTGAGCCGTTTTAACCATGCTTGATTTTTGACGAGTTCGCCTGTCGTGACATTTTTAGGCGCCGGTTCGATTTACGGTAAGGTTTGTCACCCTAGACTGGCCTAGTCTAGCTGTAGCGAACAACTCAGGTGTGGAAAGTCACCCCGTATAGATCTATAGACAAACTTTCGCTCTCCCTCCATGAGACTCTGGTTATAACTACAGGCTACGATCATACACTTTAGAGGTGTCAACTGACAAGTCTCACTAGATCATTTATTGTTTTCACACGAGTATTGAATTACGCTATGTATAATGTTTTCGTATATATAGTTAAGATTTGCAAAGCCCAGAAAATAGGTATATGAATGTATAAGGCCCAACAGACATATAAGGGAGCAGCTATGGCCCACTAAGCATGTAATGTATAGATTAGGCCCATTAAGCATGTTAATGGGTCACAAAGGCCCAAATTAACATGTGGTAATCATATTAGGCCCAACAACATGTAAACGGGCCACAAAGGCCCAAATGGACATGTAATGGATATATTAGGCTCAATATCATGAAATTTACTTTTATGGCCCTAAATATATATTAAATATTATTTTTGGCCCATTTTTATAGAAATTGATATTTTTGGCCCAAATATATATAAAATATTATTTTCGGCCATTTTTATAAAAATTGACATTTTTAGTCCAAATATATATAAAATATTATTTTCGGCCCATTTTTTACCAAGATTTACATTTTCAGCCCATTTTTGATAAAAATGGCATTTTCGGTCCAAGTTTTGGAAAAATTTGCATTTTTAGCCCAAATCCAAATAATGTGGCATTTTCAACCCATAAAACCGTAAGTTTTACATTTTAGCCTCAAACTTGTGTAAAATAACAATTTAATCCATGAAAATCGGAATTTTTACAACTTTGGCCCACTAAAACCGAAAAGCCCATTTTTAAGGCCCATTATGCAAAAATTTACGTTTTTGGCCCCTTTATTCACCAAAATATCGTAAAAACCCATTTCTTTTATAAAAATGAATCCTTTAGTCCTTGTAAAACCGTAAATGCCAAGAAAGTATCATCTTTTGGTTATTTGTCAAAAATGGCCATTTTTCAAGATTTTTGTTTAGTTTCTTATGAATCTTCACATGTTTAGCACATTTATCCTTATAGTAAGTTGTATGAAGTGTTGTAGTTTCCAAATATTGTCTAGATCTATGAAGTTCTTTACACCATCACAACATACACTTAGAAAACACACATAAACATGCACAAATACATAGATCTAACACATAGCAACTTGTATTCTCCCCCAAAAACAAAGTAAAACCGAAAAAACAAGGGGTATGAACTCACTTTGCTTTGATGTTTTCGGTTCTTGGTGGTAAAATGAGTAGCTCTCGGCCCTAGGAAGCTTCTTGAGAAGGATTTTCGAACTCCATGAAGCAAAGATGTATAAATCATGAAATTTTATGGTTTAAGAAGAGATTTTTGAAGAAATCAAGAAGCTAAACCATAGATCCAAGTGAGAACTTACCAAAGATGATGATTTTGGTGAAAACCTTCTTGGAAATACCCACAAATCTCGAAAAATTGGGAGGAATGAGGAGAAGTTCTTGAGAGTGTTTGAGGGTGTTTGGAAGAAAAAATAGAGGTAGTGTGATGGGGGTTTCGGCCGAGGGTAATAAGGAGAGGGGGAAGAGAAAACTTGAAGTGATGTTTGCATGGATACCCACCATGCAAACATGAGGTGTCAAAGCCAAATAAATCCTTCATTTCTTCTTTTTTTTATATGCATAATGTGGGTTGGGCCGAGATTTGGGCTAGGAAGAAAGAAATTGAGGAGATTTGAGCCTTTACTTGAATTGTTTGAATTCATGAAGCCCAAAAATAAATTTTCGGCCCATTGGGCCCTTATTAAGGTTCACGGCCCAATAAATCCCTATAAAAAGGGTTTACGGCCCATTAATGCAAATGAGACCATTTATGGCCCAACAAGACCTATTAGAGATAAAAATGGATTATTTTAGGCCCACATGGTCCAAAATGCTAAAGTTATATGAATGTGGTCCAGTTAGAGCCCAATTAAGGTTCCTAGGCCCAAGATAGTCAAGTTGAAGGTTTATTAGTCCATTAGGCCCAATAAGAGAATCCTAGTTCATATTAAACTGGCACCGGGATTTCTAGGGTTTCCAACCCTTAATTGAATATATAAGATGTATTTGAATGAGCATATAGTATGATATTCATTTAGAGTACAAGTTATTACACTTGTTGAATGTTTACATGAGAATAAAATTTTCTAGCTAAAATGCTAGTTGTGACAACATAACTATTGTCGTTATCACGAATTCCCACTAATTAAATCGTCTATAAGGGTACTATAGACTTTTTCTATGATTTTCATTTTTTCATAATGTGTTTTTGATAATCGTATTCTTAAAGAATGAGAATGAGTGAAAAATGATGCGTGAAAACAAGAATGAATAGGAATTATTGAGAATGCATAATAATGACGATAGTTATGTAAAGTTGAACGTATTCACATTACCAAACAACTCATTCTCTTAGGGGTCGTTTGATTTGCCTTCTAACGGAGTCCGAAGTTAGGACACGGTCCTCAATCTGAAGTCCGCTTGTTTGTTTTCCTTTCTACACCTTTGGACTCAGTCCAAATCAAGGATCCAGTCCCCATTTTTGTGTTGATTCGATCCAAGGAAAAATACCCGCTGACTGAGTCTATTGTGCGTCGTTCTCATATATACCCTTTTCCATGCTTCCTTCTTCGTAGTTCGTATGTCGAACCTTGGTTCTCCTTCAAACCAACGCATAACTTCTCCTTCCACCACCACCGGTTCTCATGCAATCGATCGTTGGACACCTCATCCACCATCGTCCTCTCCAACGTCGTTCACCTCTTCCTCTTTAATCGATTTCATAAAATTGAGGTTTGATTGTTTGCAATTTCATTTTTTCTTATTTTCAATGAAATCCATTTCAATTTTGCTTATTTTCAACTTCCTAAAAATTGTAATTCAATTCACTGTTTCTTTCTCTAAATCTATAGTTTTAGTTTAGAGATTCAAGAAGGTTGTCGATGTCATTATCTTTTGTTTCGACTTGGGGTTTCGACTTAGGACAAGTGTTTTCGTTTCTGGGTATTCAATTGGAACATTTTGTATTTGATAACTAGTTAATGGATAATTATTGTGGTATCACTATTAATAAATAATAATCAATTTGTGTTATGTTTTTGATATTTCATCATGTACCAGTAACAACGTTACTGGAATATCATATTGACATTATCAAATTCATATTTTTTGTGTTTGTTATAAGGAATGGAGAGATGAGTTAAATGAAACAATGTAGATTATATATTACTTGTGAATCATTTGGAATTTCATGTGTTATCTTTTTGGGATTATATATTACTTGTGAATCATTTGGAAAACTGTAATGAACTCAAATGATGAAGGTTAGTGATATAAAATAAAGAAATTTTGATTCTTGAGTTATTATAAAAATATTTTTTGAGGATAATATAGTCATTCAGATGCAAATCAAATAGCAAACTTCAGTCACAAGTTGACTCAATCAGAACTTCTAATCCACTCAGCTTTTAACCCAGTTAATTCTAACTCATTTAGCAACTATCAAACGACCCCTTAGATATTCTCTTAGAATAGCATTGTCCACACACGTCTGCACAATAGATGTCATCCACATTCGAACCTTGACCTTTGGAACAAACTCTATATATATTGTGTTATAGTAGGAGTTGTTATCTTTTATTTTAAACAAAAAAAACTTATAAGTTATTTTAAATAGTTTTTGGTAACTTTTAACTTTTGGTTTTTATATAATTTACACCTTTAAAAGTTAACAGTTATTTTTATCGAATACTTTTGTAACGCTCTGTTCCGAATTGACTTCTAGTCTGAGGCTGTGGGCCGAAGGTTGGCCTTCATAAGAAGTATGGCTCTAGAGAAGGTAAGATCTAGGTCCATTTGGGTGCGGGTGATGTATTAGAAGTGTTTCGGGTATTCGGGTTGTGTTTTGAAGCTTAGGGGTATTTCGGTGACGTGTCAGTTCGGGCTTTTGTGGATAATGGATTTTTTGTTCGTAAGGTCTAAAGTAATATATGAGTTGATAGATGTGTAGAGCTTCTCGTTACCTTTCCGTGGATATAAGGATCGTTGAAAACGGATTTATAACGAAGAAGTTATGGCTTTCAGAAGTTTAGTAGTTTCAGGCTTAGCCGAGTACGCTGGGCGTACACAAGGAGTACGCTGGGCGTACTAGGGGAAAAGGGAGTACGTTGGGCGTACCTTGGGTTACGCTGGGCGTAATGACCAGGAGTGGTCGTGAAGGTTCTCTGGAGTACGCTGGGCGTACCAGAATTACGCTGGGCGTAATCCCGTCAGATCAGAACCCTATTTTAGGGTCTTGGACCCTATTTAAACCCCTTATCTCATAACCAAACCCTAACATCTTCAGCCTCCACCCCTCTAAACATTAGAAATTGACATATATCATCCATGGTGGCATTTTGAGCTTATGGAGTCCATTTTTGGGGTGTTTAACCCATTTCCAAGAAGTTGGAGTTTGATGTAAGGATGGGAATCAAGAAGGAGCTTATGGATCAGGCTTTTAGGACTCATTCTCAGCTTAATGAAGGTATAAAGCTCTGAACTTGACCATTGAATGCTTAGATCTATTATGTTGAGTTTTTGGATCTTTTTGGTCCCAAGAATGGGGCTTTATGGTTCCAAATCCGTTTTTAGGCTTGGGGTTGCCACCCTTGATGCTATTTGAGTCCCTAAGGCAGAAAGTTGCCATCTTGATGGTCTTAATGGGTTCATGCTTGAGTTAGGGTCACTTTTATGGAAGTAGAATGCCATTTTTGGAGTTTGGGTTTGTTTGGGGCATGCAAAGTCACCAAGTCAGTGACTTTATGGGTTTAGATGTTAAGTATAGCTCAGATCTGTAATTTGGACTTGTTGGATAAAGTATTAAGGATTATGGTATGGGACCCAATTGCTAATTGGGTATATTGATTGGTATGGGACCCAATTGCTAATTGGGTATATTGATTGGTAGTGGCAGCTCGGGAGGCTGGCGGGGCAGCAGCTAAGGAATTCTTCAGGAAGCTTCTACATTCGAGGTGAGTCTTCTCACCATACCAATGGGTCTAAGGCACCAAGGCCAGCCCATTATGTGATTATGGTTTATGTGTTAGCCATCTGTGATTTGATATGCTATGTGATTATGTGTTATTACATGGAAGACCCCGGGGGGGAGCCCGTGGCATTGGATATAAGACCATGTGGGGTAGCCCATGGCATTCCTATGTAAAGACCATGTGGGGTAGCCTATGGCACAATGATGTAAGACTCTGGGGGGAGCCCATGGCATCCTTACAGGTTATTTGTGTTATGTGTAGTTATTTCTGTGATATATGATATGTTTATGTGATATGTGTTATGCTAGTTGTCTTTGTGATACTTGCATGGAAGACCTCGGGGGGAGCCTGTGGCATTGGATATAAGACCATGTGGGGTAGCCCATAGCATTCCTAGGTTAAGACCATGTGGGGTAGCCCATGACACAATGGTGTAAGACCCTGGGGGGAGCCCACGACATCCTTACAGGTTTTTGGTATGCATGGCTTATGTGTTATATGTAGCTTCTATAGCTAGCAGGAAATGTGATACATGTAGCTTTTATAGCTAACATGATATATGTTATGTGGATTGTGTGTGTGGGGTATGCTCTGGGGGACTCACTAAGCTTTGTGCTTACGGTTTATAGTTTTGGTTTCATGTTTCATCAATTTGGAAATGAAGGGCTCAGATTGATCGCAGTGCACACACCTATGATTTCCGCAATGATTGATTTTGGGATGAACTCTGATAAATGTTTTACTTAATGAGAATTTGGCATGTTTGAAATAAATGGTATCAATGTTTTAGCTGTAACCAAAAATGAAATTTTTACCCCTGATTTTTGGGTCGTTACAACTTTTGCACAAGCAAAAGCTATAGCTTCTAACTACTATGTAGTTTTACAAAACATGCCCTAAATTAAAATGTTTGTTATTGTTTTTCAATATGTTTGTTTAATCATTTATTGTGCGTTTTAAATGGTGTTATTGAGAAAAAAAATTATTTATCAACATTCAAGTTTGGAAAATGTTGAATTTTCAATCTAAGGTTTAAAAATTAAACAAATCAATTTACGGTTTAAAGCAAGTTCTGAGACGTAGCTTTTGGATCAACAATTGATTACTTATATAATATTTTACTTCTGAAATGAAATTTGGGTGTGAAATTAGCATGATGGGTGATGATCTATTTGTTTTCTTTGATTTAAAATAAAACATGTAGAAATGAAACTTTTATTTCTCAATCTAAGTATGCAAAAGATATATTATAAAAACTCGGTTTTGAAAATGTTATAGTAGTTTATATGGTTTTTTGGCACTATAAGACAATAAAATTTGGCGAATTTATACATTTAGTCACTAAAGTATTTTTGTGCCTAATAGACCATTAAAGTTGAATTTTACTTATCAATTACACCATTATATGACCTGATACAGGAACAGCCAGTTATTTGAGTGACTAAATGTGTAAATTCGCCAAACTTTGTTGTGCAGTGCCAAAAACAAACCCGGGAATGTCAAGCCATGTCAGCATGTCACCTGTAAACCGGATACAATTTCCCCCAAACCCTTAATTAGTTGGTATTTCCTAACGTTAAGGACCAAATGAACACAAAAAATACTTTAGTGACTAAATGTGTAAATTCGTCAAACTTTGTTGTGCTACAGTGCCAAAAACCCTAGTTTATATTTTAATGATAACAACCATTAAACTTTCTAAAGATGAGGAAGGTGGGAATTTTAATGAGAAATTTTTATTTCTCGATCTAAATATGCAAAAGATATAAAATTTTCAAAACATTAAACTTTCTAATGTAGACTTAGTTTGTAAGAATTTTAACATCTATGGTTGAAATAGAAGATACGAGACTTGTGTATTACAAAGTCATCTTGGAGTTTAAAAAAATGTTAAAGGGCCAATTTGCCAATTATGAAAATTAAGGCATGACTTTGAGTGACTTAACTTAGTTAACTAGGTTTTAGACCTAGCTTGTGAAGATATTAACATATTAGGGTCAAAGATATAGTTGTTAAGTTAGAAGTGGCACTTTGGTGTCATTTTGGAACAAACATTAAAAATTAGAAATTAGAGGGACTAGTCTTATGCATGAGGAATATTTTAAGAGATTTAATCCCTAGTCTAGTTTCTTCTCTTCAATTTGAACGAATCAGATAAGGGATATGATGTGAGATCTTTAATTTAAATAGGAAAATCAATTTGGAGAAGTTTTTGATAGTTTATTTTAAGTTTTAACTTCAATTCCAATCGAGTAGTTTCGTTGTTCCCTCTTTATGCTTTTGATTTCAATTTTCAATTCCAATAATAGTATATCAACCAATTTATCTAGCAACCACGAAATTATCTATAAATTTTGTTGCATTATGTGTCTAAGCCCATAACTATAATTGGTATATACTTGAATTGATAGTAGCACAGTCCTTTTGGATTGTCCTCAAACCTAGCAATTAGATAATATGACTTTTAGAGAGAGAAAGATTAATTTATTATGTGATTAATAAATAAATAAATAAAGTTCATTAATGTATATGAAAATAATATATTAATTAGAAATAATATTATTTAATTAATAATTACTCGAAATTAATTTTGTGGTTAATATAATTAATTAAAAGTGTAGGGTCTAAAGTGTAATTGTTCAATAGTTGAAAAAAAGGCTCCAGAACCTTCCACAAAGGTGGTGGACGGTTTTGGAGGGGATATTCTA